GAAATTGTCAAGATTGAGTGGCACACGACCAGCACGTCACGCCAGAAACTAATGCAAGAATACAAAAAAAAAAACTGCCAGTAGGCAGACTAGGGCACTACAGCGGGCCTCAAAACACTCCTAAAGTACGCAGCGTTATCTACACTGCGGCCTGTGTCGGTCTGGTGCCGAGCGCCACGCAGTCAGCACCGCTCTCACTCACCGCTGACAAGGATCGCCTCCAGCTTCTCGTAAGCCTTGTCGCTGACGCCCCTGAGCAGGATCTCGGCCAGCCGGCGGGCCATGGCCAGTCGGACGCCCTGCGTGGCCGACGTCTCCACCGCGCCCAGGATCATCCTGTCGGGCGGGTCAGACCGGGCGTGGGCAAGGTCTCCCTACGTCTTAAGTCAAGCTGATGTCACAGAGAACGGGGTGTCTGGTGTATCTGGCTGCTCCGTAAGCTCTGCTCCGTCACACATCTCGAGATAATCACAAGTGCCCGGGCGGTGTTGAATGCATGGCATCCTGTTTGAGTAGCATCGGGTGCCTCTCGCTTGCAGCACGAATCTGCACAACCTGCGAGACAGGTGTCCATACCCAGCCCGAGCTCAGGCGGCTTGCAGCCCGTAGGCCGTCTCGCCGCCGCCGCGGGCCGGCCTGAGCCCCGCGCCAGCCCTGCGCCGCTCACCTGTACCGCCGAATGGCCCGGGGCATCTGATTGGCCTTGAGGATGAGGATGGGAGCCTTCTGCAGCGCCGTCTCCAGGATCAGGCCCAGCCGGTTCTCCGGGTGCGGCGGTAGAGGCGAGCTGGAGGAGCCTGAAACAGCACCGCACGAGACATGACATAGCTGGAAAGCGACTGACAATGCAGAACGGAGCAATGCACTGGCGGTGACATTTAAAATACAACTCAGAATAGGTCCCGGCGCCATCGCCGCCGGCCAGGAAAGCAATTGATATCTCTCGCCATCAAACGAAAAGAGCGGACTGACGCCACTCGAAAAGTGCGGACTGACGCTGCTCGAAAAGTGCGGACTGTGGCGAGCTCATTTATCCACAGGTTACATCAGCACAGCATTTAGCCCAAGTTAACCAGTGCGGACTGAGGCCACTCAAAAAGTTGGGACTGTGGCGGCTTATCAATCCCCAGCTTAAAACAACGCGGCATTTAGCCCGAGCTGACCAGCGCAGACTGACGCCGCTCAAAAGTGCCAATTGCGATGACCTTGTGAATCCGCAGGTTAAAAAGCGCGGCCTTTAGACTGAGTTGTCCCATGCACGCGCCGCTCCAGTTCCCTTCACGCCTGCATGTGCGGAGACGCGAGTTCGCAGCGGACTGACCAGCTGTGTGCACGCTCCACGTGCTCTGCATGTTGGAGCTCTTGTCGACCTCCTGCAGGTAGAGCAGGGCCAGGTCGCTGGCCAGCTCGAAAGAGCCAATGACGCCCTCCTCACGCTCAGCCGCCTTGAACTTGCTGCTGCTGGCCAGCGGCGCCTTCTCCAGGCACAGGCCTGCGGCGCCCACCACGCACGGGGTCAAGGGCGTCGCGAGGGCGAGGACCCGCGTTCGGACGAGTTCGCAGCCCAACGTGACGAACGGCGTGACAGGCTCCTGCCGAAGCCGACGGCAGGCACCACCACACACAATCGTCACTACCATTACGACGGCGACCGTCGTAATGGTAGTGACGTAATGTGGAGCAGCCCCGCATCGGACGAGACGGTCACGTGGCGAGGGGCGGCGGGGCGGGCTATGAGCCCTGATTCGACGGCTGACGCCCGACAGCCCAAACGGAGCCAGGGCACTGAATATAGAACTAAATCACGCGGGAAAAAGGCAGAAGACGTCGAAAGAAATACATGCATGACAGCTTGGAAAGCAGAGACAACTGCAGTTGTAATAGACAGATGATGACAAGGATGCTAATAATCAACAACGAAAAGCTAGAAAACACGCTGAGGCAAAGCAAGGTTTCGTACAACCAATCGCAAGCTCGCGCGCACCAACATTCACTGGTGAGCCCTGTACACCGGACAGTTGTCCTCTAAGCCGCACCCTCAGGAACCGCGCCGGACCCAGACCGCGCACGGCTTCGGTCCCCGGCTCTTCCCCAAACTCACCCTTCACGGCGTACGACTCGGCGACCACGCGCAGACTGCGGGTGGGCAGCTGACGCTTGGCGAGCGTGTCGAGGCCGGCGCGCGACAGGTCGAGCAGAGCGTCCTCGTGCAGGCCCATGGCGTGGTGCACCTTGCCCAGCAGCAGGTGGGCGTCTATCATCATGTCCATCTGCCGACCAGCGCGTCGCTGTCGCGTCACAGACCGCATGGGCGGGCGAGCCAGCGGCGCACACGTCAGGCCCAGTAGCGAGCCATCAGGGCCAGCCGCCTCAGGCGGGTGGCTTGTGACTGCCGCAGCAGCTGTGCTCGCCGCAGCCTTTACCAAACGGCCAGCGTTCTATTTGGCTATTTATTTATACACATGATACGGCGGCTCGGAGCCAGCGCATAAGGTGGCAGAGGGGGAAAGGGGGCATATAATGCCTCGAACTTCGAACAGCACGCAGTCAATGATGCTCCGCAAAAGGATCATTCGCTTCGCTTCGTCCACAATTCATGCTGTCAAGACATGCTTGAGTACCTCAACACGAGTCGGGTGAGAGCGAGTGCACGGCTATCCGAAGGGAGATCCTTACAAGCACTGACACCTGAATATCCACCCGCCTGGCTCACACCCTACAGACAGCGTGACAACCCACCAGGACGCGTGGTGGTGCGATTAGGCGCATGGTGATCACAGCGATGGCAAGAAACCGCATCTGTCCTCTGCAGTCATGTTTACCCTCTGTTTGCCACCTATACCTTCACCCTATGTGAGTCATCTGCCCCTTCTGCACATCACTGCGCCTTCAGTGGCTCATGCATACCTTCTGTGGGCAGTCAGAGGTGGCTGCCATTGTCAGCAGCCGCTCCACGTCGCGCAGCTCGCGGCGAGCCTTCTCCTGGTTGGCATCGCTCGGCGGGTTCTCCTCCAGGTAGTACTCCAGCGCGCCTCGGCGATCAGGAAATTGGCCAGTGGCTCTGCACCAAAACAACTTCTGACTGATGCACGGCACTCCGGCAGGCAGCCAGCTCATTTAAGCCACAACTTGACAAGTCTGTGCATAAAGTGCTGTATCAGTCAAACCACATATCAGTGGTGAGATGCTGACTGGTCAGACATGCATGCCCATCTGTAACCTACCACATCCTGGACTTTGCCTTGTGGAGTGAATCAATGACCCCTGGGCACTCTTGATGCAAGCTTTGCAAGTTTATGCAGCATGCAGTAGTCTGAAGGCATGCAAAGCATATATTAGCTTTGCTGATGGATCTAATTCATTACGGCATGCACATAAATGCTGAGGAAAATTTGCCTTTTTTCCTAGTTAACTTTCAGAGTGCAATATGATAGTGAGCATATCCATGGAGCCATTTCATGAAACTAGGCCCACAGTCCTGTGGCAGAATACTGCAACCTAGTTGCAGCCATCCAAGTGGAAAATTAAGCCACTCAAGGCTATAATGTGAGCCATACCATGCTCTGGACAGACTGTGGAGGGATTACGCTGTTTCCCCTGCTCGGCACAGGATCAATGACCCTCTTCCAATTTGCCTCTTCACGACACTTCTCAATTTCTGCCTCTCTCACACTGGGGCTTCCCTTTATTGGACATTATAGCTGAGAAGTTTTACTCCTGAAACAGAAATATTAAGGCATTGTTTGCTTATTTGAAATACCTATGTTCAGAAACCGAGCAAAACAGTACAAAAATGATGCAGGGATATCATTGGGTAATGTGAAATGCTTCAAACTGCAGTCCTACTGATGAGCATTACTTGATACACTTCTGACACTTCAGCACTTTGGCCATTTTGCATTTATTTGCATTACCCTGCATGATATGCAGAATATGCTTATAACCATTTATCAGGCCCAAAAACCATACTGCAACCAGTGGCAGTTTCCCAAATGAGCTGGGGGGGAGGGGGGGGCTGAGCAGTGAAAAATGACCTGACCTAGCCCCAAATGACCAACAGGGTTCCTTCCCAGATAAGCTTTATTCCCAAAGTTGGAGTGGAGTGCCAAGGCTCAAGTTGGCATGGGGGAGGGGGCTGAAGCCCTTCCAAACTGAAATAAGAAACTACACTCCTGGCTTAAGTGCTTACAGCAAACAGGAAATTCATGGAAAAGTAGCATTGTTTGCAGACAGAATTTCCCTCTATGTACTCAATTGATGGCAGCAGTGTGTCAAAACTGTGAGAACTCACTACACAGGTACTGGCACTGTTTTTGCAAACTGCTTAGCAAAACATGCCCCTTTTAAAGTCAGAGAATAGTAACAAATCAGCTACAGATATTGTTAAGATATTTCATCACCAGCAGTTCTTGCAAAGAAAAATTTCCTTTACCCCAGTTTATACAATATTAAAGAATTGGACATGCTCTCACTGGGCAGGGTGTAAAAAACAGGGTGTAACTAAAATCAAGTTTGAGGCAAGGTTCACAATTTTAATGTTGGAATTCCCCAAAAAGGCTTTATTTCATTTCACAGGCAATTATCTTATACTTTGAGACATGTACTGCACTGCTGGTCCGGGTCAGGTCCAGTCCAGGTCCACTGGGATCGCAAAATGAAATTTATCCACAAACATCCTGATATCCATGCTCCACATGTTGCTGTGATTAATCAGTGATTCTTTTATCATCACCGTTCCACATGCCGCAAACACATACTTGACACGTAGGTATTTACACACATGCCCGATGACCACCGCGCCCGCACACACCCGCCCCCCGTCCCTACCCGCGAGCGTCGACCTGCGCTTTCTGGCAAAGGTCGGCTGAGGACCTTCGCACCCGGCTACCACCAGCTGGCGGGCGACCGACGGCCGGCCGGCCGACGATGCGGCGGCGGGTTGCACCGGAGCAGGAGTGGAATGTCCGTTGAAGAAACGCTGCTTAGAGTAAACGTGGAGTAGGGGCCAGAATGGGATAACTGACCTGGAAATACTGCGATCGTCTTATCGCCTTCCAGACCAAACTTTCATTTCTAAACCGGCCAGAGAATAGTCAGCGAGCCCTTTTGCCAACATTGAGTGATACGTTGGCGTGGTGTTCGATCGAAAAGAACGAAACCAAAGTCGCACGAGTGTGCTTTTCTGACACCTGATAGCCCGGCACCATTGCTAAGGAAAGTTCAATGTCGTTATCTTTTGGTTTGGTCATAATAATTTTTCCCAGACACCTGTATTTGTAAATTCTACCGTTCCGGTGTCTCCGCCTCTGCCTCACTAACGTACGTTCTGCTGTTCTGGTGCCTCATCTCCCGGTCACTTGCACACACGGTACGTCCCAAGTGACTTCTGTATTTGACACTCGTTAAATGACACCCCACACAGTCCGTCCCGCCGGCACGTCCGTCCTCGTGCCGCCGGCTCTCAGGTAAGGCCTCCTTTCCCGGCCCCCACGGCCGCATCTCTCGCACGGGCGCCTGGGGCAGGAGCGGAACGCGAGCGCATCTAACGGCGCTCACCAAACCATATTCACTGGCTAACACATAGGTGTGCTCTGACACCTTACACTTGACTCTTCTTAAAAGGAACAATGACCTCATAGTTCGAATCATTCAATCATTACATAATGAACAAATCCAAGGCATAACAACCACGTATCTACGAGCCTAACTTAACGTGCACAGTAGGAAAGACCCTTAAACGATATCCGCCACGCCATTGAACTTACTTAAATAACATGGTGACACAAACAATACAAATACACTATGGATCATTATTACGTACCCAGTTATCACAGTCATCGGCCAATCGATCTGAAGGTCATATGAGTCGGGCGCTCCGCTGCTCGCAATGACCGTCCGAAGACGGTTGCTCCACAGGCACTGGGATCCAGGGCCTGGACGCATTTGAGTGGAGACCCGGACTTGGTGGTAATTCATTGGCTGACGCCAGGTAACGGAGGGACAGTAGTGACGTGGGCCGCGGGATGCGTGACCTGCGAGCCGGGACAGGTCACGGGTCGGTATCGCTGCTGTTGCCGGCTCGTTTGGCGGTTCAACCGCGGCCTGGGATGGCGTCGGATTCGCAGGCCTCGGCCTCTGCCGGCTAATTCGCTGTCGCGGCTTGGGCTGGAGCGAGATTGGCGGCCTTCAGCTCTTCAGGCGGACACCCCAGCCACGTCAGTCCCTTGCGTCACGCGCAGACACAAAAATTGTGCTGCTGGTTCAGTCGGTACAACTGTCTGTTGGTCCGCCTGTGTGGACATTGGTACGGTCAGTGCTGGTGTAACTGAGTTGGCACCTGGCGCTGCGACTGAGCCGTTTGACTGATGCGGCGCCGCGGCCGGCGCAGTCCGGTGTGTCGGTGTTGCCGATGGCAACTGTTGCTCTGCAGTGTCACCGTTACGCGGCTTCAACCGATTGTAGTGGACCACCAGTTTCCTGTGCCTGCTGTCGCGCAGCTTGGATGCGGTAACTTGCCTACCCATTTGGACGAGTCACCACCGCAGGTTTCCAGGGCCGAGCGAGCTTGTCATACTCGTCCTCGGGCGGGCGCCTTCCGGAACAGGTACACCGCATCACCCGCCTGGTAGTGAAACGCGTTTGACTTACGGCTGGGGCCGGGACGGCAGCGGCGGGCTCGCGCACACCGAGGGTACCCGTCTTTGAGACGGAGCGGGGCATGCACGTTTCCTTGTGGCGGTGGCGACAGGGTCGTGAATGCAGGTGTCAACTGCATTTTTTAAAAGATTTTATCCGAAGCCTTTGAATGGATGGATTTCTGGGATCAGAGCTAAGCAGTGTTCGTTGTGTGAGCTCTGATTCTTACCACCCGATCGCGTAATTCTAGTGTCAACGGCACAATTTGGTGGCGAAAGCTTACGTGTCGCAATGCTCGGCACGGTCCGTCCTGCCCTCTGAAGTCCAACTGACCTTCAGTGCGACCGCTGCCACCGGCCGCAGGCTATGCCTGTCAAGGGCAAATAGCGGGCGCCATAAAGCGACACGAGCCCACCGCGCCACGGGTGGGTGGGTCGGAAGGCAGGCGCTTTAACCAACTGAGCCACCGGGGCGGGCGGTATTCACGGCCGCTTCGCCGTCACGAGAAAACGACATTTCCGGGAGGGACTGGGCCGCCTGGCAGACGACCTCTCGGGTCGGCGGTGACATGTCGTCGGCATCGTCGTGGACTAGACCGGGGTGATAGACCACAGTAAACTGGAAATTGTTCAGTATTTCTAGCCACCGGGCGAACACCCCCTAGGAAACCCTGAAGTGAGTAGCAGCCATCGTGGGCTACTGTGGCCGGTTCGCCACACAGACTTCCGTTCCAACAGGAAGTGACGATTTGCGAAGGTAGTGCTTGCGGAAGGCTATCTTCCTTCCTCGTCCGTGTTGCACCTGTAGAAGGTAAGCCCCTATCCCCACCCCGCGGTCGAATGCGCCCGTTTCCAGGATGAAGGGCGCTGCGTCGTCTTCAAATTGAGGCAGAGCCACCACTGGTGCTGGGGTCAGCAGGTCCTTCAGCTTGATGAATGCTGTTTCAGCCCCGGTGGCTAGTGAAATGGCACGTGTTTTTGTCAGTTGCATCAGTGGCTGTCAGTGCAGCAACCTCAGCGAAGCTGGCCATGTAGCGACGAAAGTAGCCAGCCAATCCCAGGAGGCTAAACAGCTCCTTTTTGGATCTGGGCACTGGCCAGTCCACCGCTCTCTGTACCTTTTCTGGATCGGGACCGATGCCGTCTTTTGAGACTCGGTGACCCCGGTGCGTCACCACTGATCGGAGCAGCTGGCCTTCCGCCGAGTTTAGAATGAGACCTGCGCTGCTGGAACGCTTGGGCACTCTCTCCAGGCGCTGCAGGACCTGACTGGACCGAGTCGCCGTGGACAACGATGTCGTCGCAGCATGCCAGACATTCCTTCGGTGCCAATCTGTCCAGCACGATGTTGAGTAGCCAGGCGAACGAGCTCGGCGCACCGGTGAGACCGTAGCTACAGCGCCGCCAGGCACACAGGCACCAGGGCAGGCAGTCATCCCGTGGAGAATTGGACCTACGGGATCTTCGTAAAAGGGTGCAATGGTACATCACAAAACAACACAGACACAGCGGCTTAGATCCATACGGATGACAAGCATTACCTTGGATTGGTCAGTCCTTGCAAGATGCCATATGTAACAGTTAAAACGACGGCACCGATATGGTGATGACTCATTAACCCATGCTGGTCAGTACCAAAAACGCATTGGTGCTTCCGGTCAGACGCGGGCTGCTGGTGAACGAGCTTCACCCAAGTTTGACGGGACTGGAACCACCGTGATGGGCCTTGAATTACATGCTGCTGACGTGCGCCGATGTAGTGGGCATGGCTTCAGCGTCATTTTGGAAAGGCTTTCGGGCGCTTCGACCTGCGCGACCACAGAGCGCTTATGGTCTCGGCTTCCCAGACGGCGCTAAAGGAGGTTTGGCTGATGGCATCCAGGCCGGGTTTTAAGCTGCTTATTGGTATGTCACCTTCCACGCTCGATGCTTTTTTGGTAGTGAACAGCAAGATCCGCTGAATCTGGTCAGGTGTAGCAGCCACAATATGCAGCGCACCTGAATGAACAGGTGCACCGTGCTAGTCTCAGTCTTCGATGCTCAGCTCCTCGGTTCACAAAAGGTTCTAGAGGCTGGGCGGAGACCATCCCTCGTCGTATCCTGTTTAGTGGCACTCCGATTTCCATCTCATTCCTGTACTTAAAGCCCCAGATAATAAACCACGTTTATGACACCACCATGGCAGCGCACAGAAATGCAGCTGGTCATACAGCATATAAACAAGATGGTCACCTTCTGCGCAAACATATGCGTCTCAAAACGTTCCGCAAATGAGCAATGGAGCACAAGAGAAATAAAAACTCTTGAGAATGCTGCATTGGTCGGTGCAAAACGTAACTTCTACACAACATTGCACGAAAATGCGCCCACCATGACTAGGAAACTTGCTATGTTGTAATACGCCCACCGCCAGCACGATACCTAGGAAATAATCTCTTGCTTACATATCTTCCCCAACTGCCTATCAAAAGGCAGCCGCAACCCGCTCCTTCCACCTCAACACAAGCTAAAACACCCACCTTCCATAGAGCCAAACCCAAACAGGTTACCCATACCTGGCAAGTACGAAAGATAATGCCTCAATACTTTAGCACTGCTGAGGAATACAGGGATACAATACTGTCTACGTGCTGACTACTCTTACCAGAGCACAGCGCCGCAATGGTCACAATCCAAAGGACCTTACGCAAAGGTTGAGCCCAGGCGGACCGACTAGCGCAGTTTACGCGCTTGAATTTTTCGCTCGAGTTTTGACATTCTTTCGACGAAGCATGTGCGTGGCTCTCGGGATCCAAAAATAGCATCACGAAGGTTTAGAAATATACCACATCCGCACATCGTCCAGCTTACATGAAGAGCGCTTGTAAGCATCTATGACACTGAACTTATCATACACACACACCACGCCGAGCAGGAAACCGAAATAAATACGAGACTACGCCGTCCTAACGTCAATGCCCCCGAGGCGCCGGGTTCGCGCGTTCCCATGCCCCACTTCCTAGGTTGCCTTTGTCGCATCTAGCTCCTCCGATAGCTGGCAGTAAGCCTCAGCCATGCGGCCCTGCACCCGTTCCAGCAGCTGAGGTACGTCGTCGACGCCCAGCCCCTCGGTCGGGATCGGGTCCAGCACCTGCGCCACCGCCAGGCCCGGCTCGAAGTGACAGCGCGCCGGCTCGAGGAATGCGCGGTACGGGCCGAACACCACCGGCACCACCGGCACTTGCGCGCGCACCGCCATGTGGAAGGCGCCCTTCTTGAACGGCAGCAGGCCCGTGCCGCTGCGGTTGCGCGTGCCCTCCGGGTAGAACCAGACAGCCAGCCGCTCATCCAGCATGCGCTGGGCAGCGCGCTCCAACGAAGCGCGCGCGCGCGTCGCGTTCGACCGGTCGATGAAGAGCTGGCCACAGAGCCAGCAAGCCAGCGCGAATGGCAAGCCCAACCAGATTTCCTTCTTCATGACGGTGACGACGCGCCCCAGACGCGGCCACAACTCCACCATGCCCAGAACGTCGACGGCGCTCTGGTGGTTGGCGACGACGATGCAGGCGCGGTCGGGCTGGAGGTGCTGCGCGCCACGCACTTGCCAGCGGATGCCGAGCAGCAGGCCGACCAGCCGCAGCGGCCGCGTGAAGAGCAGCGAGTTGCGCGCGTCGCATGGTCGCAGCAGGCCCAGCGGCGCCACGCAGATACCCACCAGCAGTGCTCCGCCGTACATCACCATGAAGCGCAGGTTGTAGCGGAAACGCGGGCTCCACTCGTACAGCACGGCCACCGACATCAGCAAAAGCAGCACGACCTCCAGCAGCATGGCGACCAGCGACGGTCTGCAACCAGGGGTAAACACTTGTGATGCTGCAGGCCAGGCATACTAATGTCCCATTATGATCAAAGTTATCCTTATGACAATACAATTGCTGATGAGAGTTACCAGCTGCTAGGTTAAATACAGCGTAAGCACACCACCCAATTTATCTGATATATTGACTTTTGTCAGATTTCTCATCACACTGTAATAAAGGACAATGCTATGCACATATCGAGATAAGACTGCAGCCTTTGTCTTAGCTGGGGCATGGAAGGACACAAATATGTAGCACTGGCACTCAAATTATGCCAGGATTTAGTCCATAGCATCATGATTAAGAAGGTGGTCTGGAACTGGTAGTATTTCAGTTGTTTGGGGATTTCTTTGCACTTAAAAGACAATTTTTCCACCATAAGTGATTACTCCTTACAGGAAAACTAAAAACTGAAGAAAAAAATATTTGGTATGCTCAATTTCCATGACATCTGACACATCAAAACAAAAAATATTAATACACCACTAAACAGAAAACTATGTAAAAGCCTGCCCAACTACAGGCACAGCTTGTACCCTGACAGTGATTTAAGGTTCTGGACAGCCCTGCTTACCTCAAAATCAAAGCAATGGTCTTTCCTCCATTTCAGGCTCCCAGCCCATACATCCTTGGGGCATTAGCCAGTGGCAATGCACCAGTGCCAGAACATTACACAAGTGAGGCACTACCCTATCCTGCAGTACAGCTGCATAAAATCCCACCCAAAGAAGTGCAGAGTAACTCGTTAGAGAAAGGGGAACTTCCATTGACTTCAGACACATATGGCACACTATGTATTTTCTTAAGTTCAGATTTGGTGAATTAAATTTCGGTGTAGGTGTACTTTCCTACCTAACGTTAGAAAAAATCATTGCACACCATTCGTCGTGTTTAAGGCGGCACATATCGTAAATAATCTCAAAACAGGTAGAATCATGCTCCTACCTTCCAATTTCAATACCTTTGATGGCGGGCTCCCGAGCGCCGCGCGCACCGCACCGCCTGGACCAAGGCTATCTAACGAGGTAGAACCGTCCGGTCCGAAAAAATGGCAACATCGAGCTTGCGTGAGAAAAGAGGTAGTTTGGAAGCAGAGCCTGCACTGACGTCAAGTATACCATATTTGATGACGTCAGTGGCACGGAGGCCTCTCAGTTAGTCAGCTGACCGTAACACAACCCATTAGTTTGAATGGTGAGTGTGTTTTGGTGGCGTGCGGCTGGCAGTTCCCCGTTGGATTGAGAAGCAATTATCCATCATTTCGCTATTCACACACATTTCTGGAATGAACACTGAGTCCTAGAACAGTTTAGCCTCATTAGAGTGTACGGTTTTTGCATTTATGGTGATATAGCACGGGGTTATATGTCGTGCGGCGTTTGTGGTGTATTGCATTCCATAACCAGGCTTGTCCAAGGCTGGCTTGCCGTTAGAGAGCCTCAGGATTGGCATCAGGGTTGTCTGCCTTTCGTGCCTGGTGGCAAAGTTGAACAGCTCAACTTGCAGAATTTGCGGTCAGGGTGTACTTTCCTACCTAACGTTAGAAAAAATCATTGTACACCATTCGTCGTGTTTAAGGCAGGACATATCGTAAATAATCTCAAAACAGGTAGAATCATGCTCCTACCTTCGAATTTCAATAACTTCGATGGCGGGCCCCCGAGCGCCGCGTGCACCGCGCCGCCTGGACTCCCCAGCGCCGTTTCTGCGTTGCCGTTGCGTAAATACAATATTTCTGCTTACCAAGAACTGTACAAAATGTACGGGACCAAAGTAAACCATTCGTCGTGTTTAAGGCAGGACATATCGCAGATAATTACAAAACAGGTAGATTAATGATTTTAGCTTCAATTTCTTTTATAATTACGATGGCGAGCTCCCGAGCGCCGCACACACACAGCACCCGCAACACCGGCGCCATTGCTGCTCGGGTCACAACATTACTGCGCATCAAACAGCATCAAGAACCACAAAAATGTACCGGGACAAGGTAACAAGAATCCATGCAATTTGATCCTCGACGCCAACGGGACCATGGGTTGCAGGGGGATTGGGTGGGGAATGTAAAGCAAAATGAGAACATGGCAGCTAAATAAAAGCTCACTATATGGCACCTATATATGGCATGGAGCATGGATGGCAATGGGATGCTGGGTTGAAGGGGATATAGGGTGGGGAGGTTAGGTTAGGTTAGGTAAGGTTAGGCTAGGTTAGGTTAAGTTAGGTTAGTTAGGTTAGGTTAGGGTAGGGTAGGTTAGCTTAGCTAAGCTTAGGTTCTGTCTATTCTCAGGTTAGGTTTGGTTAGGTTAGGTTAGGTTAGGTTAGGTTAGGTTAGGTTAGGTTAGGTTAGGTTAGGTTAGGTTAGGTTAGGTTAGGTTAGGTTAGGTTAGGTTAGGCTAGGCTAGGCTAGTTTAGGATATGTTCTGGACTATTCTGGCCTGCGTGTTTCATAAATGTACCTAAACTCGATAAGAAACGATTTTGGTTGCTTTATTATTGCTACCTTGGTCCCGTACATGTTTTATGGTTCTTGAAAAGCAGAAATATTGTGCTTTCGCAACAACGGAGAAACGGCGCTTGGAAGTCGAGGCGGTGTGGTGCGGTGCGTGCTGCGCTCGGGAGCTCGCTATCGTATTTATTAAAATTCGAGGGTAGGAGCATGATTCTATCTGTTTTGAAGTTATTTACGATATGTTCCGCATTAAACACGACGAACGGCTTACCTTGGTCCCGTACATTTTGTAGAGTTCTTGGTAAGCAGAAATATTGTATTTACGCAACGGCACCGCAGAAACGGCGCTGGGGAGTCCAGACGGCGCGGTGCGCGCGGCGCTCGGGAGCCCGCCATCGGAGTTATTGAAATTCGAAGGTAGGAGCATGATTCTACCTGTTTTGAGATTATTTACGATATGTGCCGCCTTAAACACGACGAATGGTGTGCAATGATTCTTTCTAACGTTAGGTAGGAAAGTACACGTACACCGAATTTGCTCTGTCTGTAGGTATGATTATATGAACAGTTGCATTATTGATTTTTAATAGCTCCCACCCTTAATATCACAATGATGTAAATACAGTAAGGTAAGTATGGTAAAATCCTATGATATAAGCCTCATAATGCTACAGTCAGCTGTGTTTTTGTGCTCCATGGCTGCCATATTTTTGTTCATGTGTACATTTATGTTTGCATATATTGCAATCATTGCTAGCACTCAGACAGATAAGTAATCAATATGGTGTGTTGCCACCTAAATCTTTGCTTTGCAGTGTTCTAGGTAATCACTCAAAATGTTTTTTTTTTCTGGCCTGTGCATCACTGCAACAATGGCTCTCAGTTTCTTCAAATGCCCCCAACACCCCCTGCCATGTTTTTTTGATCACTTAACTCCTGATGTGTTATAAGCAACTCTGCATTCATGAATGTGAGTCAAGACAGAATAAATCCATGTAACAAAATGTTAGCAAAAATTGTGTGTGTCACTTAAACTGAAAAATTCCCATACAGTTTTCTACTATAGATCAATGTCCCTGGAGGTGAGAAGAAAAGATGCATAACACATAGTGTTCTGTTGTCACTGAAACTGCTTGGCTGCTCAATGAAGTGGTGAGCCATGTTGAACATCACTTTGTTTTGAAAAACTGTCAAGAATTTGTGCTTAAAATGACAATACACTGTGTTCTCATGTGCTTATTGTGATTTTGTGTTGCAAAGGCCATGCGGATGTCCTGCAAATGTCCCAGAACTGTAAAGGAGGCTGTCATAAATGCACAAGCTCAGCCAGCATTAGGATGCAAATTTTGTGTAGGGGATCATAGATTGAACTGCCCAGTGAGACCATCGATGAGACGTTGTGTGGAAGTGTGAACAATGATGTGATTGTGATATTGTGTGAAAATGGTACCATTATAAAAGTTGTTGACACATGCATTCAGATTCTGGAATTTAGGCAACATTTGCCTCACCAGACATTTTTGATCCTATGATAATAGCAAAGATGTGTTGAAATGTGCACTCAGATTCTGAAACTTAGATGAAATTTACTTCACCAGACATTTTTGATTCTATGATAATAGTACCAAACTTGTTGTTCCCCATGAGTATGTAGTACTGCAGTCATCAGGATGTGTGAGATTGACAAGCAGCTTCTTACATTTGGACCCCTTCCAGTCTAGTGGTGTCATCAGGCACTGTACGCTGTTCTGTTCCAATAGGCACTGTTCCAATGCACTGTACCTGTTCCTGCTGGTGTATTTGGAGCTGATGACCTGTATGCCAAGTGGAGGTGGAGGCAGGTACATGGCACAGGTACAGCACTGGCAGGTTCACAGGATCCTCGCGACAGCTTATTCATGTTAGCGAGTGTGCTGCCGGACCTGTCGAGCTGACCGGCGTTCGGCTGCCTCGGCCACCTTGCGCTCGTTCAGGTTCCTGATCCGAAACCAAACCATGGCGCTGACATATTTCTTCACGACCCGGTCGTCGATATCTGGTCTCTTCTCCCTGATCTTGGCGCGGATGTAGGCATTAACCCCGGGACCACTGCGATATCGGGGACCCATGATTTCGGACACCACTGGGTTCAGCTCTTCTACCGTCTGATACCACTCAACACTGGGCACAGTTAGGTGTCCGCGACTGAGAGCGCAAATCCAGGCTGAGGGTACTTGGGCGAGCTTGACGGGCGCGGCATCCTGAGTTTTCGTACCCATAGTTGGGTTGAAGACGCGGCATTTCGCAGCAACAAACCCTGCTAAAAAGGCTACGGCCTCCTCACCAGGTAGCGCTGGACGGGCTGCCGAACCCGCACTGGCCGTGCATCCGCCTCCATTCGCATGGTCTTCATCGTCAGAAGTCAGATTGGGCAGTGATGGCCGCTGCGCCACTTCCTCGAAAACGATGTCGAAGTCCTCTGCATCTTTTGCTGCGACCATTTCCCCCTCCGGCTGCAAGACTCCCGGCAGTCCGTGCATGGCCTCGTTTGTGACGAATGCGGGTCGGACGATGATCTCTTTCCTTGGGCTCCGGTGATTCTCGAGCGGCGTCAGGTCAGACAGGGGCGGCGCATGGCGTGATGCGTACGACGGCGCGCGGTCAGGCTTGCTGGTCAGATATTGCGACCCCGTTTCGTTGGGTTCTTGCTCCATCTCAGATGGCAGGGACAGGGATCTGCTGTTGGCCGCGATGATTGGCCGTGGAGCCATCAGCAGAATTCGAAGGCGGGTCTGGGCTTCAACAGCGTTGGGGTGCGTGTTCGACCCACACATCGCCCTGAGCTGTGAGAAGCAATTCTCGACCAGGTCTTGGTTGAGGTGTGCCGTCATGACGTAACGCAGACCGAGCTGTCGAACGTCGGAGAGGAGGCCGGTCAGAGACGCGCAGTTTCTGAGAATTCCGTCTTGAAACGGTAACTTCCGGCCGGAAGTCCTATGCCTTTTTCCCAGCAGCCCGTGTTCGAGGCGCGGCCGAACTTTTGATATGGCTCGCGCTAACCGCGCGGCGTCGTCGATGGCGCGGCGCTGCAGCTCCTCCACCTCGGGGTCCACACCAAGGGCGCGCCTTTCCGGCTTTACATTTGATGGCCCATTACTATTACTCACATCAAACCACCGGTCAAAAGTCCGTATTGCCGCTGCCTCGCTGAGACGGCTTGGGACTTTCAGCTCCAGTGCGGCAGCGCAATGCTCCGACAGGAGCTGGGACGCGAGCTGCCCACGCTGGCTGGTCTGGCCACGACCCTAGAATATCCATAACAACTCGTCAATCAGGCACCTACCGGATTTTTCCAGCAACAGTCTTTGTTTTAGCTCGAAAAGTTGCGTGACCTTTTGGATTGCCAAAAGTGCTTTGGGTAAGTTTAAATTCATTTTGATGCGCATTGAAGTCAGTTGAACGGACCACTGAGCAAGAGAACGTACATATTTACCACGCACTTGCCTTCTAAGGCTTTTATGCATCGCTTGCCTCTCACCCTGGCAGGACGGCTGAGCACAGAGGA